TTCAAAACCCAATTTTTTAAAGTTAAAATGTAGATATTCTTGATCAGCTCGTCGAGTTCTATAGAATGACGCAAAAATAAGTCAGAAATAAAATAGTACTCGAACTTTGAATTACCGGTGCCTTAGTTCAACTTTTTTTACTGTTCTATCAGACGCTGTTTTAAAAACCGTCTAATAATAAACGAATGAATATATAAAGCACCTAAAGTAATAAACGGTAGTAAAAAAATCTATTTTTTCTTAGTCTATCTAAGCGGATTCTCATGTGGGCCTGAAAATAAAAATGTCTTAAAACTAAGTTTGGCCTGTCTCTTTAGAGAATCGACTGTTCTTCTCAAAGTGGGATTCATACCGATTCTCAAAGATATTCTATTGAAAGTTGTAAGTTTTTCAAACTTCTGTATCTTGATAAATTTTTTTCAAAACCTTTTAGAATACTTATATTATCGAATTTTTATATTAAATTATTGTTCAATAAAGCGGGTTTATTGAAAAATTAAATCTGAAATAGATCACGGATTGATCTGCTTGAAAGTACCAGAAAATGACTCTTAAATCCTCACTACTCCTTCGTCCAAAAAATAATCTTTTCTTCTCTTAAATTAAACATCATGTCAATATCATTTTAAGGACGTTGAATACCTGGTATACGATCTAAATTTTTCTTTTGTGTTGATGAGCGTCCAAAATTGAATGTATACAGATATAATTGTTTAAATTTTTCATTATCATAATCAATTTCACGATTGATTTGTCTTATTTTCTCACGTAATTTATCAAGTGTATCACATTGTAATTCATTCATACCGTTCAAAAATTCTTGTTTTTTTATTTCTCCTTGTGTTTCACAATTCAATTTCCAACATAATACTAGTGTTTCACGATCAACTAAAATATGAGAAAATGGAATTATCTGTTCTTTTTTTTTAAAACTTCGAAATTTATTACCTGGATCAAAATTTAAATCTTTGAGTAAACATATTAACTGTTCTATCGATGTTTTTGACTGATCATGTGGATCACAATAATTTGACCATAATTGTTCAATTTTTTTACGATCAAATCTACCACTGTTACTACCACTAACAGATGTTTGAGATGAATAATTGCTACGTGATCCTGTACTAGTTGAATGATCTTGTAAATTTGAATTTTCATAATGTGAATTAATTGCTCGTTGTAGATCCCAATCATTTTGTGTTAATAATATTCGTGCTTGTGCTTCAGTAAGACCTAATATTTCACGTAGTTGACGAATTTTTTCATTTTTTTCACGTTCATTTTTACGTGTAGACATTTTTGAGACTAATAAACCAAATAAAAAAAGTAATAGAATTAACCAAAAATTAAGATGAAAAAACAATATTGCTATTTTGTGATTGAAAAATAAAATGAATTATCTAAAAAGAAAAACAAAGTAAATGAATAATGATGAACAATAACGTGAAGATTAAGACATAAAATATTTAACCAAGTTAAATATTTAATATAATTTCGTGAAAAAAAAATTATTAATAACAACAAAATATAGTTTTAAATAAAAATAAATAAAATAACCGAAATAACTTAACATGTCAATTTTAATTTAAGAATTGTTACTGTACAATCACTTCCAATTGTTGCTAATCGTTGTTCATTATTATCATAACAGAGACCTTCTAATGAGCCAAAATGTATTTTTGAACAAAAATATAATTGAACTTTTGATATATCATTTTCATTATCTTTATCATCCATAAATAATTTCCATATAATAAGATAACCATTTTGTGTAACACATAGTATTAAATTTTTTTCAGAATCTATTTGAATATATGTAAGAGTAAACCATCCAAAAACAGTTGATGGTGTTTTAATCATTTGAATAAAATAATAATCTTTTTTTTCATCTGTTTCTAATCCGTTATAAAGTCGAATAGTACGATCATCAGCACACGTTAATATACGATATTTATTTAAAGATAAAAATATTTTCCATGAACAACTTGTTACAGCTGTTGTATGACCCATTAAAATTGCTTTTGAAAGATTTAAATTTGATAATTGATAAGAATAAGAATTAATTAGATCATCTATTTTCCATATGGCTGTTGTTTGATCTTCTGAACTTGTTGCACAATATAATTCATTTGGACTATAACATATACTCCATATTTCAGCAGGACGATAATTATCAATAGTTTTAGAAATACATATATCTGATTTTTCATTTTCAAGACAATGATTAACTATAGTTTCTAAAAATTGAATATGAATTATTTTATCTTGAGATAATGGAATCATAAGTGATGTTATTAAATGTGAACATAATTGTTGAATTTGTTGTTCATACAACATAAGTACTAAACGACCACTGGCTAATCCAATTAAACATTGTGTAAAATGACTATTCCATGTCATACAAATAACAGTAGTTTTAAAATCATATACTAATTTGAAATCATTTGGATAATTAATATCGGAAATATATAAATTACCAGATAATGTACCAATAAATATAATATTTGTATTTTTAATTGATGATAGACATCGAATACTATCTGAAATTATTGAATGTTTTTGAGGTTCAGAAGAATCGAATGACCAATGATATATATTTCCACTTAAATCACCCGATATTATACTATTAGATGATGATAAATAAGATAAACCACAACCAGCTAGTTCATGATAAGATTTTGTAATTAATGTTGTTATTATTAATTTATATTTTAATGATGTTGATAATAAATCAGAATTTGTACTTGTATTCACATTAAATATGAGATTATCATTTGAAATTATTACTTTATCAATTTCTTTTTCCTGTTCAATTTTGACTAACGTCAAACCCCTAGAAAAAAAAATCCAATAAATATCTCTTTTATACAAGATCAATAAATTATTAACTAGAAAAGAGAATAAACAAAAATAAGATCTATCTTTCGACATAAGAAATTTGAAAATTCAAAAATATAATAATATACTCAATTACATATATCCTCCAATCCATAGTAAATTATTTTTTTCATTTTCCCATTGTAAATGGCAAACGGCACTTGTCGGTGCACCATTTCCATCTGCCAATAATTGTCCATTTAAATTCCATAAATTAATTATTCCCGATATATAACCTACTGTTAATAAATCATTTTTATACCATATCAATGCTTGTGGTGCTCCTTTTGCATGAATTATCGAATGAATTTTTAAATGACCAGCATCAATAATAAATATTAATCCGGACTGTAAACCAATAGCAAAAAATTCTCCATAATTTGTTTCTGTTGATACAATTGAATTTAAATCAACATTAAATTGTGAGGAAAACGTATTTCTATCGTAATAATTTTCAATGGTGATTATGTTTACCGTTGAACATAAATATATTTGTTTTGTATTAATAGATTCTAATTCCAATTCTTTTTCTAACTGACCATTTAATGCGTTTAATTGATGTACTTTCACATGTTGTTGAGGACGTTGTAAAATAGCCCATAAACGTTGATCATTTGTACATATTACACACTCGTAACCAATTGAACCAGCAACATAAGTATTACTTGTTTCAACTTGATCAACAATTTGTGGAGTTAAATGAGTTGAATGTTCAACAAATGGATGAATTTCTTCATTTTTATTTGACCAATGACGTAGCCAATTTTCTTTTAAACAATTTTCTGTTTGTTGATATTCTAATGATATAATTGTACCATCAAATCTTGAACATAAATAAATTAATTGACCATTTGTTGTCCATGCTCCATAATGTACATGATTAATTCGCGTTTGATATTCAATTAATTTTTCATAATTTTCATTCCAAACAATCATTTTTCCAGAATAAGAACATCCCAATATTTTTTTTAGTTTTTTATTATATAGTAGAAGAACAATAATATCATGTGATGCTTGAAAAAATTTTATACGTTCATTTTTTGAATAATTATAAATTTGTATGCATCCATTCAATGCTGACTCATAAATATAATCAGATGATTCAACGGTATCATTTCGAACAATCGATGGAAATCCACAACATTGACGAAATGAACCAACACCGTAAATATTTTCAATATCAATTGTTAAATTATTATCATTTAACATTGTTTATTTCTTACTAATTTTTTACTTTTATTCTCAAGCAAACGAAAAAACTACTAAAAATAGATTGGATATAATGTATAGTATAACATTCTATAATATTTAAAAATAAGAAAATTCTCGTAATAAACAAAATAAGAAAGAAACAAGGAAGATGAGTAGTCAGTCATATAGTCATATTTTTAAACTTTATCTTTAAAAAAAAGAAATCTTTGTTCTGTTCTGTTGTAAACAATTCTTTCGTCTTAGTGAATTTTGGAAAATTATCCATATATTTTGTAATTCTAAATAGAGCCAGTTTTTTGCTAAAATTTAGGCACACAATGGTATAGTAGCGATACAGATACAATCGTGTGATAATCTAACAGTTTTATGTTTATTTTATAACTAGATCTCAACTGTAGGCTGCTGAGATACTAATAATACAGAGCTTCACACTAGACTCCTGCGGAGCAGCTCTGAACTCCATCCGGTCTGTCCCGTCCTGTGGGACAGACGGGATCGGGACAAAAAAAAATTTAGGGGCTTGGGCTCATCGGCTCGGGGTAAGAAAAAAAATTTCATGGGCTCGGGCTTACGGGGTTGGGACAAGTTACAAAAAACTGTTGTTCCGTAAGTTTTGTCTTTTGATTGTAATTATACTACAACTTCAAATGTTTAATTCTTGTAATACTATCAAGTCAATACAAATTTAATATCAGTAGGCGACGATTTTTGAAATAATTTCATGTTAATTGCAGCTAATTTTAGAATTATATTCTACAAAACTTGATATTTCGATCATTCACGGTCATTGTCAAAAGTGAGAATGTACATAAAAGACGTATAACGGTACTGAACGATCTCTACCATTTAGTATTGGTTCTTGTGCTCGTATCAAGAGTGATTCTTTTATTAACAATTTGTGTTTGTATTGTTCACTAGTGAGAATTTCAAAGTCATTTGGTGTAATCAAATGTCCAATCGCCTGATAATGGCCGACTTTGCCAGTACCGTTTGTTTTGGATTATCTTTTATCAATGTTTGGATGGCGAGTGACGCATCAAGTTCATCATCATTTAACGTTTTCATCGCAGAGGGAAGTTTATCTGTTCTTGAACGTGTGAGAATTATAAAATGTAAAAAATAAAATTTTTGTATGTACATTTTTACTTTTGACAATGACCGTGAATGATCGAAATATCAAGTTTTGTAGAATAAAATTCTAAAATTAACTGCAATTAACATGAAACTATCAAGTCAAAACCGTAATTTTATAATAACTAATAAAAATTAACCTGGAGAGGCGAAATAGTCCGGATTTAAACTTGAGAAGATGTTTCATATCTAAAACTAGGTTTACAGGACAACATTATTTACTCACGGGCTCGGACCTACGGACGGGACAAAAACTTTTATGTGTGGGCTCGGGCTTACGGGCTCGGAGCAACAGAAAAGTTTGTCCCGCAGGACTCTACTTCACACAGCTAGAAAATATATTTATTTTCTGTACTCTACACGAAATAAAATGGTCTTTCTATATAGTCTTTTTATTGCACAATCATATTTATATTTTCGTCATTGAATTCATCTATATACGGTCTACATGTGTTATATTATTACATGAGTATATATATAGAGCGAGAGAGAGAGAGAGAAAATATTTTATTTTCTTTTTTTCTATTTTCGTTCTCTCTATTGTACTATTAAACGTTATATGTTCGAACATTAAAATATCGCTATTTTTGTTAGGGAAAAATGTGTTTTGATCACCAAAATTATAATTAATTAGATGAATGAAAAGGAAAAGCAAAACAGAAAATTTGATCACTGAGTAATTTGTTCAATCGAAAAGCATTAAAAAATCATCAAAAAAATCTCTTCTGATCTTTTTTTATCAAAAAAAGATCAATCACATTTTTTCATTGTGAAAAGTTTTTCCTATATCATTGCGAGACAAGTTGAAGAAACAGAGAATCATCTGGCACGTATAGACACGTCTTCCACATAGAATTTATGACTCCACAGGCTTTTATATCATGATCACCTAAAAATTGGAAATCTTTCGATGAGTATGCACACACCTACAGCAGTCGTCAGAATACCCTCCAATCGACGTTATTTTTCTATAGGGCAAACGTTAAAAAAAGATAAGATGAAGATCGCTCAAGGAAAGTCCATGAATCTATGATTGTATGTTGAGAAAACAATCTTGATTAAAACAGATAAGAGATTTTTTTAATCGTTTTTTTCATGCTTTTTGATTGAGAAAATTACTCAGTCATCAAATTTACTGTTGTCTTTTTCCTTTTCATTCATCCAATTAATTATAATTTTGGTGATCATTTCGCACTTAAGGATAGCGTAAAGTGTCTACTTTCAGAATCTGTATGGCTTTCGGTTATAGAAGCGATTTTTTGCGGCTTTCGAGCAAGTTTTCTAGGAGCCTTGCAAAACAGGAACTTCAAATAATAGTTCTTTCCTGGATATTTATGCAATTAAATTTTTTCTCAACGCGTAGATTTGTAGAGAAAACTTTTCTGATCAAAATAAGACCTCGCACAACTCTGTATGATCTTGCGTCAAAAAGTTACAAGCATTTTCCTCCAAGTCCCAAAAATGGATCAACTGATGCACAGCGTTTTCTCTGCATGGGAATTACACCGGAAGTATTTCACAAGATTTTTTAACATACTTCAAGCTAGAGAATTCGGGTTTGTTTTACTTTAACCAGATATCTAACTGCATGGGCTGACCGGCGCCGAATTTTCAATTAGTTCTTAGTTTTTGTCAAACTGAGGATTTCTAGAAAATCAAAAAGCGTTTTTTGGGTTTTTGAGATTGTTGGTTATCTACAAAACGAGCAGAGGCTAATTGAAAAATCGACGCCGGTCAACCCATGCAGTTGGGTGTCTAGTTTAAAATAAAGCAAACCCGAACTCTCTAGCTTGAAGTATATTAAAAAATCTTGGGAAATACTTTAACGCCCTTTTTAGATCTTGATCTCTAGAAAACTCTTAAATGGTAAGACTTGGAAAAAAAAAATTTCATTCCCGTCACTCATTGTACCAACATTTATGGAAAATTTTGTCAAAATCGAATGTACAGTATCGGAGATAATTTCTGAGGGCAGTCCTTAATAAATTTAGTGATCACAACTCACTTTTTGGTCATCAGAAATATTGTAACCTTTTTTTGTTAACTTTTGCAAAAAAAAAATACTACGGTAGACTAAAATAATGGATATAAATGAGAATGTTGGCACACTGTTCGCTTTTAATTTTAATTCTAAACAAGAAGATTTATCTAAATGATGCGTCCTGTCAGAGTTTTGTATATAGCAAGGGTTTGTTTGCTGAGAAATGTTAGTTCATGAACTAGTATATTCGTTAGTTCAGTAATTGAAAAGCAATGTTTCACCTACTATTCCTTTTCTTTCAACACAATGATTATTTTTTTATCATAATGAAAATTCAAAAACAAAATGCATCTCGTAGATGCATGCAATTTTACGAAGTTTCAGATATGAAAAAAAAGACTATTTTCTTTTTGAGTCTCTATTAATAATAATAACAACAACAATAACAAGAGAAAAAGAATCACAAACAAAATGGATCAAAAAATAAAAATATCACACTATTATTGATACAATAAGTATTTGAAGAACAATTCATAAACACGTATTAATGTGCACAGAGTGAGTGAATATACAACATGCATGGAATATATATGGAGCAGAGGTCATAGTTTCTAAAATTCATTTGATATGTCTCAAAATCTCAAATAATAGAGAAAAGAAAATATAAAAATATTTTTAAATTGATATTAAGCAAAACTGTGAGTAAAACTCCTTAAATGCTTTACATATGGCAAAGTAGCACTGTTGTAGAAACATCTCGCTTTTCGTTTACTTATTCTATCATTGTTTTCGAAGAGATGGTGTATGAAATTTCTGAAAAGTTAAATCATAGTTTAATATTATATCTCTAAAATAGATTATCGATCAATTCAACTCAATTTTTTCTTTAATTATTCTTTGAAATACATTTAGAGAAACCCGGACGAAATGGTCTATATATTTCACATTCATGACGCATTTGTTTTCTAAAATGTTTAGTTACCGATTCAAATTCCATAATAGATACATTTTGTTTTATCCAATAAAAATGAAATTCATCAAATATCAATTGAAATAATTTATAAAATTCATCAAGATTACATTGATAAATAGAAAAATATGTTAAAAGATATTCATCTGATAATAATTCATAGAGCCATGAACAAACATTAATAACAACAATAGCAAATGAGTAACCATTTGAAGTGTCATTTGATTTATCAATATACTTCAGACATCTTGTTGTATCACGAGACAAATATTCAAGACACAATAGTCCAAATAAACCCATGCCACGAAAATCAGTCAATGGATTAGAACCCTAATAATGAAACATTTTTTAAAGAAGAAAAACGAAATTATATCATCATATATATCTTTAAATCGAAAAATATTACCTGAAATCCTATTTTTGTCCATTGTTTTGTTTTTAGTTCAAATGGCTGATCATTTGATATTAAACGTGTCCATAATAGTTCGAGTAAATGAACATGTTCACTTGATATATCAGTAACACATGTTTTTCTTACAAATTCAATTTCATGGTTAAGTTTGTTATAAAGTTGTATTTTTCTTATAATTACTTGTATTTGATCTTTAATATAATAATTTTTTATCGATTTTTTATTGACAATCAATGCATTTACATCAGCACAATCTTTATTTAACAATGCTTGCCATATGTCGGAAGATTTTGAATGTTGTAATGAATTTTTTACTTGTTGTAAACGAAATGGATATGGTAATGTACGATTCGATATTATGCGTTCAATTTCAGATTTACCAGTTATAGAATGTAACAGCCATTTATGAAATGGAAATAATAAACGCAAACAAAAATTGAATAGTTTAGATAATAGTGGACTAAATTGTTTTTTTTTATTCGATGCTAACATACGGTTCATCT